GTTTCACAAGAACGAGAAGCTTGGCAATGGTTACAAAATATTGATAAAAATTCTATATTTCATTGGTATGGACAATCTTACATTGTACCATCATCGTTTACACAAATGGATACATATACATGGCTACAACAGTATCATTTTATGCCTTGGTTAACATTTGATGAATTTACTAGGTGGTTATACTCTGCACGACTTGTTAGTATGCCAATGATGTGTTCATGTAAACAAAACCTTAAACTATATGTTTGTAAACATGCAGTAGGATTTATGATTCACCTTAATCTTTATGTTATAACTGATCCAGCTAAATTACAAGTGTTAGGAAAAAGGCGTGGACGTCCAAAAAAGGCAGACAAAGCATTAAGTCGATCATAAATTTGGTGAGAATACTAAAAGAGGATTTTTATTTGTAAATAGCTACATGCAATATTTTTTTGGATAAACAAAATTTAATAATCAAACAACAGGGTATAGCTCGTTCTTCAAAAAAGCATGCACAGAAACGTCTCAGTGCACATTTCTGCCTTTTTCCGTGCATCTTTCTGTAACCGTGCACAAAAATGTCAAAAGGTTTTTCAGTGCACGGAAAACAGCAAACCGTGCATAATTCTGGAAAAAACCGTGCACAGAAAAATCCTCGTCCCTAGACGAACCCTGTATACTGGCATATGAAAAAAATGAAATTAAAAGACAAATAAAAGAGACACTACTGACGCATAAACAAAAAAAGCTAGCCTACAATGACATTTCATTAAAGACAGTGATATTCGATTAGACAGTCTAGAAAATAACAGTCCAGGATAGAAAAATGTAACCGTCACTCGATTCTATACTACATTTTTTTCTATGTTTAAGTTTTTCTAGTATTTTCGTTCTCCGCTATTTTAACTGGTATGTAGATTCATCTCTCTTCTAAATTCACAGTCATATTAGCCTGATAATGATACTGTGAAGTATCTAGAGCTCGCTTCTTGTGTAAAATGATTTTACGAAAATGTTTTTCAATTATATTAAATATACTTAGTTTTATAAGAAACGTAAAAAAGTCAAAGAATGCCAATATATGATATAAGTACTCAACAATTAACAGACAAAAGAGAACAAAGGAGAAAAACCATGAGAATCTACCTACCTATCTAATTACTTCTGAATAACAATATAAAAAATGTAAGGAAAAGTATAAATACAACAAACAAATTGACGTTGAAAAATCGTTCTTACTTTAACAAAAAACACACGATAAATATAAGAGTACATACAGGACAAAAGTATACAGGACAATTCTATACGATCACAAATTATAAAAACAGTGATTTAAAAGGTTGCTGCTTTTTAAAATGTAAGTCGATGTGTAAGAGACAAATGGTTCTCGTTGTGGTTCCAAACTATCGTTTTTATGAAAAATTCCAAGGACTAGTCTAATATATCATGAAGGGAACGGAAGGTTGAGATACGTAAGTTAAAACAGAATAATCATTTTCAGTAAAATGTTCAAAACAATTCTTTTGCTACAAACTTCCTTCTTCTTCGGTGCGAGCAAAGACAATGACCAATTACCTAAATTACTCTTTTTTTCTATTCCGTACAGTCATAGAGCCTATGTGTCCTTCTCTTCTTTGCTCAGACTGCCATTATAGTCATCGATATCTGTCTTTCTTTCTTCTGAAGATGATGAAAACGTGTAGACGACCGACGCTATAGACAGGGGAAAAGCAGCAAAAGAAGAGAAAATGCTTTCGTCTTTTTCATCGGCCTGCATGATTTAGTTCCCTATAATACAAAATCCAGAAAAAAATTTCTTTTTCGGAAAGTTAAGGATTTAGTTCCCTATATCAATTAATTTGTTAAAAAAAGAAAAGAAAAATAGCCTGATTGCTAATCTAATTAAGAAAGGAG